GCTACTTCAAATATTAAGCTAATACTTATGTGTAAATCACCCTTAGGGCTTTGCTGTTTTACTATACTATGTAAATACATTTGTAATCCAGCACGTTATTATTCTGAGTTGCCCCACTCAAGCGGCGGCCATATTGAGTAGGGCACGTGAGATTAATAACGTGCTGGATTAGTGTGATCCTAGTTCATTTTATTACTTCATTGCTGTGCTGTATGTGTATAGACCAATGTAGTTGGATCTGTATGTGCGTTAGAATTAATCTATTAATTGATTTTTAAAAAAATTAGATTAATCGAACACGAAAATTTTAATCATTACCAGCCCTTATATATATATATATTTTAGGAACTACCAATTTGTTTCTCCATTTATGTTTTCTTCAAAGTAAAAAACTGCAGTATCTTCACCTTTATTGCTTTCATCTTTATTCCATAAAGGAGTGGATTTACAAATGGTGGCACCACCAGGCTCTGTATTGACATTGCTACTCTAAGCCCATAGGGTACTTGGGTCGGCCCCAGGCGATAGAGTAAAACCTCAAAGAGACAGTCAATAACAAAAATTGCAAGACTTATCAGTTGCAGGGAGCAGGCCTGCATTGCTTTGGATTGATTGTTCTTTGACTTTGTACAAACCTTCAAAATTTGAACGTAAGATAAAGCAACCAGCAACGGCATCACCCCTAATATGGTTACAGTAATATACAGGCCGTAGACATTGTTCAGTGTTGTATCGATGCAGGAGAGTCGTACCAATGACCAGTTATCACAGTAGATTTTCAGGATGACATTATCACAAAGAGGAAGTCGCATTGTCAGTATAATATGCACAAGGATTATGATAAAAGAGTAAAGCAACACACCAATAATGACCTTGAATGCCTTAGTTAGGGTCATAATGGTGGCGTACCTCAACGGATTGCATATACACACATAGCGGTCATAGGCCATGGCCGTTAGTATGCTCATCTCACATGACACATAGGAATAGATACAGAAAATTTGCATGATACAGGCTGCATAGGAAATGATTTGAGTCTTATAAAACAGGTTGACAATCAAGCTGGGGAAAAGGGAGGTGCTTCCATAAAGACCATTGGTACAGAGGGCAGATATAAAAACATACATGGGTTGGTGCAAACTCTGGTTTAAATATACTGTGGATACTACTGTGAAGTTAGATAAAATGATCATCAGAAAGCCAACCAGTGATATCACCCCGTAGACATAATTAATATCAGAAATTGTGCCGAACGTCAGATGTAGCGCCAGAGGAGGAGAGTGCGTTGAATTCTGCATCTGTATTCCAGCCAGGTCCTACAATAGGTCAGTAAAAACAATAAAATATAATTAGGAACTGCAAAAATATACAATTATACAGTAAACTCTCAGTTATCCGGTATTCAATTAACCAGAGCTCTCATCTAACCAGGAAAAAAATCCCCTGTGTAGTCACTGTTTAGCTGATCTGCAGCATGGAAACGATCGTGTGTCTATTTGTCCTAATATCCTTTGATTACTGCAATTCAATATTATTATAAAGTCAATACAGAGCTTATTTTATGATATGGTACAGTATGGGGTAAGAGGATATAGTATGACAATCTATACCAATAGATATCTACCAATCCCTGGGGATGCCGGATAAGGGGGAGTTTACTGTATAAAGTATAGAACATTAGGAAAATCCTCATACAGTATGATGGGAATATAGTATGGGGTATAGTATGGGGTATAATATAGGGTATAGTATGGGGTATGGGGATATAGTATTGGGGTATAGTATGGGGTATAGTATAGGGTATGGGGATATAGTATGGGGGTATAGAATGGGGTATGGCATTAGTTGGACCTCTTTTTAATAGTAACTTTCAAGCAACCAGAAACTACATTTATCCGGAATCTACCTATCCCTGTGTATGCCGGATAACGGGGAGTTTACTGTATAAAGTATAGAACATTAGGAAAATTCTCATACAGTATGAAAGGTATAAACATTAAAGATAAATTAGGCACATTTCCCTTTATCCCTTTAAACATGCTGCAAGTACAGAAACATATTTATTGTGCCAGAAATATAGTGTGCTCCTGCCCACCTCTTTGATAAGACAATGTGATGTATTTTGAGCTCTAAACTTTTAGAGAAGATGTATCACTGCAGATCAAAAATCCTCCCTGAATTCCCCAGGGGACAAAGTGAATGGAGCACTTGATCTCAGAGCTACCACGTGGTCAACTGCTTGCCCCCCTTCCCCCCACAGCTGTCCGACCACGCTGCTCACAGCAAGTCCTATAAATCCTGAGGGCTGACACCTCTTGTCTCTGGCAGCCGGTAAACTCTGGAGATGAATGGCATCATTGAGCACAGCTCCATAGCGATAGTAAAAGATCATTTAGCGCTGCTGAAGCTGCATGACCAGGGCCGGATTTACTCCACCTGCCGCCCCAAGGCCAGGATCCACAATAACACCCACATGTGATGCTGAGCCTCCAAGATTGATAGAACTAAATTACAATGAAAGGGGTGGGCCGGAGACAGTAAGGCCAAGGAGGGACATGCTGGATGATGCTGGACTTCCTCCAAACTGCAAATGAAGCGGGTTCTATCTGACTTGCTGCAGCTTATAATGCACATTGTGAGAAGCTCATGGTGTGCAGTGAAATCAGAGTAAACCCTTTTGGTCCAGGAGATGAGCCGGTACAACTGTGGAAGACTGAAGGGAAGGCCGGAGTTCAGGGCGGGTGAGCATAGGGCAGAGTATTTCCATAGAGAAGGACGGGGGCTGCGTACTAATCACACGCAGCACCTGTCCTTCCCGGGAGCTGCCCGATACGGCCGTGCACGCAGCACGGAGCTGTACCTGCCGGCCGATTCCAGTGTGCATGAGGGCTAATTGTGCAATGGGGTGTACAATGCTCAATGTCTACACAGTGAATGTTAGGCAAGGTGTGCTATGTGTGCTAAAATGAACTGATATTTAGGGAAAACAAATAAAGTTACACTTGAAACTTATAAACGTATACTGTTATTCTGACTCCGATCGTTGAGATAGCTAAATATATCCCTTGCTGAGACCTCTATGCCTGGC